GTCCACAAAACCCGGAAGGTTGAATGTCGTCGCACACGTGTTGTCGCAACGACCGAATAAATTTCACACGGAGAAGGCTGCGTTTGCGCTTGACGCAGACGCAAGAGCTGTGCAACTCTGCTCGTTGAAGCGTTCCTGCTTCGTCTTGCCACTGAGAGTATCATCACACTCAGTGGGGCTTCCAGCGAAGAGTTGACCCAACTCTTCCGCTTCGCTTGTCATTCTTTCGCGTTCCGAAAGAATACATAGCTGTTCGGTGCGTACATCGTACAGATCCTTTGCGAAGCGCTTCCAGCTCATGACTGGAAGCGAGGTCAACTCCGACGCACAAGTCGGAGGGTTCTCCAACTTCATCCTCTCGTACTGATATCCAGTACTGGCCCGCGTCAAGACGTTCAACGTCTCGACGACCATTGTTGTCTCTTGTGTCTGCCCGGCAGACAAACCATGAAGAGTCTCTGTCCCGGACCGAGACTTGCGCAGCGTTTTGTGCTTACGCCGTCGCTTCTTCTTGTGAATCCCTGATTCACTTGCGTTTCGTCCAGGCTCGGCCATGGACGAACGTTCCTTGATACCGCCGGCAGACAATCTAGTCTGCGGGCGACCACCGGCGGGTTTTTGTACCCGCGGGCACGCATCATCAAGCCCGGCTTGATCGCGCCCTGCTTCGTGCAGCCCGGCTGGACGTTTGCAACCGTCCGCACAACTTGTCGCATCGACTCCGGGAGTCGATGCTTTGTCGTCACCTCTACGCCTTTCGGCAGAGCAGTGTGTCGCAACTCCCAGAGCTGACACACTGTTGTCACCTCGACGCCTCATGGCGGAGAACATTCTAGAAGTGTCTGGTCCCTGACCAGGCACTCTTTTACTATCAACGACTCCCGGAGTCGTTACAGCTAGTGCGCTCCTCGCGCTGTGACCGGAGACAGCGGCGCGAGCCACTCTCTCTGAAGGAGGTTCGGATGCACCGTTAGGTGTATCCGCTGCGCGCTCTCTGTTGCGCCGCGGCGTCCGAAGCGTACGACCGTACGCTTCTCCCAGTCGATTGTTGGATCATGCCGTGCAAGCCACGGCATGCCCAGAACCATGTCGAACTTGTCGTCCAAGTCCAGGACGAGGAGTTCTTCCACAAACACCCGGTGTTTGTGCGAGAAGCGTGCGCGAATTACGCGCTTCTCGGTCTTCACGATGGCACCCTTCGCCAATCGTACTTCCAACTGACTTCGAGGCACATGCTTCTCCTCGAAGTCCAACAACGGCAGACATTGCTGTCGAACAAGTTGTCCGACACGTCCGAGTCTGCCAACACTCGAAGAGAGTCCGCCCTCTTCGTCATCAATGTCATCTTCAAGATGACAAGGATTGGCTTGTC